ACTTCTTAGGTACCATCGCCCGAAATCAAGACTTTATAATTACTTAGACTGCAAATTAGAAAGCTAACAAAGGTATTTGGTTGCGTCATGTGTAATTTAATTGCATAATGCATTATAGTTTTTTTGACTTTTGAGATTGAGATAAATCAGTTTTTGGTGTCATAATGTTTTACCTAACAGCAAAAGAATTATTGCTTTAGAGTAATCTTATGAAATAAGGAGAGTGTGGTTGCCATATTAAAACTCTATCTAGTCACCATAATAAGTTAGTTAAAGGTTTTGATAACATAACTAATTAATCAGTGATCATCATGATAGACGATGATAGTTAATAGTAATAATATGCATGACTTACATCTTAAGTTATCCAGTGGATTTTGAGCTAGTGACGAGTTCTCAAGACCATCAAGAGTTATGCGTCTTCAATCTCTTAAATCTTTACGACAGATGTTATCGAGGAAAACATTTTTTAAGCTTTTTAAAAGCAAACCTTATGGATTCAAACTTTTGAAAGCAAAACTTTGGATTCGGACATAAAATTTAAACCAGGCCTAATTATGGCCCATTTAATATTTACTTCTCGCTATAATTTTTCATTTAGACTCCTAATAAAAAGCTCAAGGCTAATGAATTAAAACCATAGTTCTACTATGCACTCTTCTTTTGTTTGTTGGAACATTTTCTCTATTTGCCGTAAAATTAGTCTTATTTTAAAATTTCTGGACACTTTTCTCAACATTTTCTATTCAAATTTTGTTAGTCCATATTGTTAAATACAAAATATTTACAGCTGAAATTTCAACATCTACCTTTTGTACTCATGATGCAAACTCTTATATGTAATGTTTTAAAAACCGGATCGGACACCGTTTTGGCATAGCCATTAACAGGTTCGATATTCTTAATTTTATATTTTATATAACCCCATCTCTTACAAAATAAAATTATAACAAAAAAATATATTAGACCATTTAAAATTATAATAAAAAGATTAAATATGATTTATCATTAAAACAAGTACATAACAAGATTTTAATCTATTTTGTATGTAAATATTTAGTAACTACAAATTATAGTTTAAATTTTTTTACTAAAAAATTCAAAATTTTGACTTAAATTTTGTAAACCGGATTTTGGTATGAAACCGAATCACCGATTTTGCTGATTTTTGATCGATTTTACCGGTTTAACTCAAATCCGAATTTTGCCTCAATCCGAACCCGGCCAAATAGCCGATTCTCGGTTGGACCGGTCGGTCCGGTTTTCAAAATACTGCTTTCTGCTTATATAAAACAAAAATATGAATACAAAGACGATTCAATTAGTCATCTAATAAAATAGAGGAAATGTGCTTTCATAAAAAAATGCTAATCTGATCATCGTGAATTAGTCATATCCAATTACCGTTATTTTCCTAACAAGACCAAACGTGCACAGCCAAATTTAGAATTGCATTTTAAGATGAAGCTTTCGACGAATGAATAAATAGATGCTACATTCCCAAATCGTATATCCTAAGTTGAAATATTCAATGATAACGATAATTATTAATTTTAAGTAATAAACTAGTGGAATTGTGGATGTGCTTCGCCTGTCTTCATATCATGAGACAACCTTTTTCTATATTTTTAAAAACCTGTCAATTACATATTAACGTAATATTCAATAAGAAATAAAATTCTATTACGCCTTGGAAAATATATAATTCAAATGAAAACGACAAGGGAATAGGCATTATGAGGAATATTCTTTATATTTTACATTATATAACATGGTACAACTACACACGCCACATTAACAATTCAACTAGTTCTTAATTTACCAGAAAAAGATCTCAAAAGTATGTCTTCAACATAATTGTTTTTGGTAGATCTTTTTTTTTTATCTATATTCCAAGACTGAAATATTTAATAATTTGTAAGGAGAAGGTAACATATTTTTTAAAAAGATTAACGAAATTAGAAATAAAATAGATTTTCAAATTTATATTTTATAAAATATAATTAGGAAGTCGAATCTTTTTAACTTTAATGAATAGTCTGTCTAAAACATAATGCACCATATTAATTACAGTGGTCAGCAGAAATCAAATTCAACTTCGTGATGATGTTTACACATTCAAAGTATCAGATAAAAACACTTAAACTACTCGAACTTGTTATTAAACAAATACTTTTATTCTTATAATTAAAATATTATGATAAATTTTTAAAAATGTCACTTTTCAAGTGCCAC